ACAACGGCCGTGGTCCCACCTATCAGTGGATTTTGTGAGGGGGGGAAGGTCCGTCAAAGGGAACACCACGATCCTGGTCGTTGTGGATCGGTTTTCGAAGGCCTGCCGTCTCATTCCTATGCCAGGTCTCCCTACAGCCCTACAAACTGCTGAGGCCCTGTTTACACATGTCTTCCGGCACTACGGGGTACCTGAGGATATTGTGTCGGATCGGGGTCCCAAGTTCACCTCGGGTCTGGAGGGCGTTCATGGAACGTCTGGGGGTCTCGATTAGCCTTACCTCAGGTTTTCACCCCGAGAGTAATGGGCAGGTGGAGAGAGTTAACCAGGATGTGGGTAGGTTTCTGAGGTCCTATTGCCAGGACCAGCAGGGGGAGTGGTCGGGTTATATCCCCTGGGCAGAGATAGCCCAAAACTCACTCTGCCACTCCTCTACTAACCTTACGCCTTTCCAGTGTGTGTTAGGTTATCAGCTGGTCCTGGCACCTTGGCATCAGAGCCAGATCGAGGCTACTGTGGTGGATGAGTGGTTTCGGCGCTCGGAAGAGACCTGGAACGCTGCTCATGTACACCTGCAGCAGGCAATCAAGCGACAAAAGGCGAGCGCCGATCGCCACCGCAGTGAGGCCCCGGTGTTTGCACCGGGGGACCGGGTCTGGCTCTCGACCCGAAACATGCGCCTTCGCCTGCCCTGCCGGAAGCTGGGTCGGCGGTTTGTGGGGCCATTTAAAGTCCTGAGGAGATTGAACAAGGTTTGTTATAGGTTACAACTTCCTATTAATTACCGCATTAACCCCTCGTTCCATGTGTCTCTCCTCAGGCCGGTAGTAGCTGGTCCACTCCAGGAGTCTGAGGTACGGGAGGTTTCCTCCGCCCCCACTGGACATCGAGGGGGCTCCGGCGTACTCGGTCCGTTCCATCTTGGATTCGAGGCGTCGGGTGGGGGGCCTGCAGTATCTCGTGGAGTGGGAGGGGTACGGTCCGGAGGAACAGTGCTGGGTCCCTAGGAGGAACATCCTCGATCCCTCCATGTTGAGGGATTTCCACCAGAGTCATCTGACCCGCCCTGCTCCGCGTCCTCCTGGCCATCCCCGAGGCCAGGGTCGGCGCACGGCTGGGGCCGCGCGTCAAGGAGGGGGGGTACTGTCACGGATTCAGCCGAGGCTGCCCCTCCTCCTTGCTCGGGCAGGCTTCGGCGTTCGTCGTTACCGGAGTACTAGCTGCTACCGATCCATGTATCTATGTTCGACTTGTTTTGTCGTTATTGGTCACACCTGTTTTCCATTATGTAGTTATGTCTTCCCTATTTAACCCTCTGTCTCACACTGTGTGTTGTGCGTGTTTGTTCATGTTTCGGTTGTCGTTAGTGTGCGGGTTTGTTCCCTCCCTGCGTGGAGGTTGTTGTTCATTCTTTTACCTACGAGTAAAGTACGCCTTTTTGATTAGCTCTGTGTCCTGCGCCTGACTTCGCCTACTGCATTATACTGACGCCTTGACAAGAACACTACTGTGCATACGCGTACATGTTTTGGACAATTATAAACCCTTTAGTCTGCTAACGTGTAAACTGTGTGAGACTGAGACGGTCATACATGGAGCATTATATGTGTCAGGATCACGGCCCCGCCCTGTTCAAGGATGGAACCTACCTAGAGTTGTACCTATAATCTGTGCTTTCAACCTGCTCTTTCTACCATTGAAGCTGTTACCATGACTACGGTACTACAATAGCGGATCCTGTTACTGATAGGCTACAACTGTTCACAGTAACATAATAGTTGTTATAACACTGATGAAAGCACACACTCAAAAAACCTCAACAGAACCGAGAGGAACCAAGAACGACAACTCAGAAACATGATGTCTGTTTGTCTCCAAGTTTCCAGGCGTCTGATTTTCTCCTCTCTTCGTTGTTTATGGCCGAATATCAAGACAGACTGTGCAAAACGCATGCTACGAGTGTGCTTCCCATCTGTAGCGAAAAGGAGGACAAGAGGGACGGATCGGAGCGAGGTAGGAGGGACGGAGGAAATACCAGACTGACAATGTGGGCCAGAGGGAGATAATTGAGAACATATGGGTCAGATCCTACCAGAGCTCAGCTAAAGCCTATACTCTCAAAAAAGGAAAGGATTTAGTGAAGAAAGTTCTGATGTTGATTGTCAGTCATGGGTACTTGAGTGTAATTTGGGATATTTCCCTATTTTTGTCACTTACTCACTCTTCCCCTTTCCCTGCACTGTTCGTGCGGTTATTCGGGGTGATGTCACTGTAGTATTAACCCACATCCAGTCACTGTGTCACTGCAGACTCAGTGACAGTGTGTGTGTATGTGTGCATGTGTCTGTGAGAGAGTGTGAGAGAGAGAGAGAGAGAGAGAGAGAGAGAGAGAGCAGAAGCTTCCCAAAAACAGTGACTACAACTAAGGTCAGCACATTCCGTGTGAGCTCCCTCCTGCCAAAACACAGAGATCTCTATCCATTAGGAAGATTGGCTCTTAATTTAGGGAGTTGGAGTTGGGGGAAGGTAGGGGTAGTATTGGGACTGCAGTGTGTGTGTGTGTGTGTGACCTTCTAATCCAATCTGCATGACTAACAAAGTGCAGTGAGGCCAGAGAAGTATCTAATAGGACATGGGTCATATCATATATTATGCTGTCTAGTACCATTGTGCTGTCAAAGACCAACACAGAACTAATAACTCTGGTATATAGATGCTTCTATATGCTCATCTCATCCCTACGGATCTTCAGGTCCAGTGGATGTCAGGGACATGACCACTCCCTGCTGAGACAGAGGTGCACTGCTCTTATTAGTGTGCGTCCAAAATGACACCCTATTCTCTATATAGTGCACTACTTTTGCCCAGAGGCCTATGGGCACTGGTCCAAAGTAGTGCACTACATAGGGAATACGGTGCCATTGGGACGCAGCCTTAGACTGATCTGGCACCTTCTCTTTTGTGCTTTAATGGCTCTTGCTGACATGGTCCAAATGTAACATCAGCACAACTGCAGAGTATTCTTATTTTAATTAGTCTACACCTGGGTCAATTTGTTTTCATGTCAATGAGTTTTGTAATGTAAGGTTAATCAATTGTTTAAGAGCAATAAATGGTTTATAACAGGGTTATAACATCAGAACATATGATTGGTGTTGTAAAAATGGCAATGAATATACATCAAGTCTTTGTGCTTAGCGAACATTGTGGTTTTCTCATAGTTTTATCTGTGATGGTTTTCGGTCTCAGGTTCAAATAATATAACAAAAATATCTCTAGGCTACTATATGTCTAAATTGCAATATTATTAAAAATGTAACACATTTAAAGGGATGTTAGGCACAATATGTTGCTATTAGCTCCATTGAAAGGATGTGGTTGGTGTTGCCATGCCGTCAGTAATGTAACTGTCAGTCAAACATGACTCATCACACTATTCAAACAAGGAGAGGTAGCCTGGAATGATCAATGCATAGGCAATGTTATTATCATACAAGTAATGCTGATTATATGACAACGGATTTATGTGAAGATATAAGATAGATAAGCAGATAAGCAAAATAATACAGTTATTTCAAAATATTCATAGTATGGAAATACACTGAGTGTACAAAAAATAAAAGAACACCTGCTCTTTCCATGACATAGACTGACCAGGTGAATCCAGGTGAAAGCTATGATCCCTTATTGATGTCACATGTTAAATCCACTTCAATCAGTGTAGATGAAAGGGAGGAGACAGGTTAAAGAATGATTTGTAAGCCTTGAGACAATTGAGACATGGATTGTGTATGTATGTGTGCCATTCGGAGGGTGAATAGGCAAGACAAATTATTTAAGTGCCTATGAATGGGGTATGGTAGTATGTACCAGGCGCCAAGAACTGCAATGCTGCTGGGTTTTTCACGCTCAACAGTTTCCTGTGTGTATCAAAAATGGTCCACCACCCCAAGCACATCCAGCCACCTTGACATAACTGTGGAAAGCATTGGAGTCAACCAGCATCCCTGTGGAACGCTTTCAACACCTTGTGGAGTCCATGCCCCAACGAATTGATGCTGTTCTGAGAAAAAGGGGTGCAGCTCAATATTAGGAAGGTGTTCCTAATGTTTGGTATACTCAGTATACCCTAAAAGAGATGCTGATTAATGGGCGGTGTATGCAAAATATAACAATATTAATTTCAAATAGATAAAAAAAATCACAAGATTGAATGGTTGGTGATTTGTGACTTTCCCAAAGACATGTCTGTTGACAAAGAGCACGAGTAATCATTTACATTTTCGTCTTCTCATGGTCTTGCGCCTCGCCCTTTCCCTTTCACTTAGTGCGTGCGCCACTGTCGCTCTCCGTAACAAAGGCAACGGTGTCACTACGGCGTGGCGTCATCCTCCTCCTCCACCTCCTCCACCTCCTCCCCTTAAACCCCCCTCTCTCCCTCCCTCCCATTCCCTCACGGCGCTCTAACTTGCTAAGTGCTGAATGTTTTTTAAAAGGTTGAATTATCTCGATGTTTCTATCCCCTTGACGTAGAGATAACATTGCAATCTCTCCAAATCCACAGTACAGAGTGCTACCCCTTTCAGCAGGTTAGCTGTCTAGCCGCTGGCGCGACTCCCAATTTGGAGCTGTCAATCTCCCGCGCGCAAACCAACGCATTTTGATTATAAGTAGACGAGGGGCGCTGGCTTCATTGAACTCACTGCCAATTAGACAATTGGATCCTTACCTGGAAGCATTAAAAAAAACAAATGCACTGCTCGGCTTGTAACTTTCCACTCAGAAGACTGAGTGAGTACTCTGCTGCTATGCTCTCCATTTACGCACCAGTGACAAGGCTGGCAAAACCCCTCCAACGCAGTCAGCAGGGGAATTAGGCTACATTATTCTTGTGGGCTGTCATTGTTCCAACTCTCTGGTCATTTTGTGACTGTGGACAAATAGCCTGCCTTATTTTGAAATCAGATAACAGTCAAATTCAAATGTATTGGTCTAGGCTTTTAGTGTTGAATGTGGTGATGATGATGGTGATGCTGGTAATAGATTACGAACATGAACACATGAGACGGGATTGTCAGCTCAAATCAATAGCAAAGACTGACACGCCCTAAATCAAACAGCAGCCTGATATAAACCCAAATACCTCAAGAAATTAGTTAACCAAATGTGCTTTCTTTGGAAAAAACTAGGCGACAACATATTCTTGGTCATGGAAATTGTCAAATGGTTTACTAGGCAATCATAAGAGTAGGCTAAATAATTTCTAAAACAGGCTTCAGAAGCAGGTGAAGTGAGAGAGCTGGAGAGGAGAGAGCGGAGAGGATGCGGCGCGCTTACTTTTCTATCGGTCACCTCTTCTCCCACAGCCTCGATCTCCCCGGAGCACTCCATCCCCGGCGTGACAGGCGGGGACGGCAGCCGGTCGTACAGACCCTGCCGGGCCAGCAGGTCGGCAAAGTTCAGCCCACATGCCTTGACCCGCACCATGACTTCTCCGGCCTTGAGTGCCGGCTTCCCCTTCTTCACCTGCAGTTTCACCTTATCATAGCCCCCGTAGCCGGAAAGTACCAGGGAGCGGTAGGTGAACTGCTCTTCCTCGGGGACCTTTCTCGGTCGCCGCCGGTGTGGCTGCCGCCTCGGTGGCACTGGCTGGTGGTGACTCCGGCTTGGACTCAGCTTTCGGCTCCTCGCTGGGTTTATTCTCTTGCTTTGTTTCCTCAGCGTTTTGCTGCTGAGCAGGTGCATCATCGCCAGACATTGTGAAGAATATTAGTAGACAGTGACAAGACTTGAAATTAAACGTTCACTTATTTTTTTATCAGTCTTGTCTTTAGGCGCTTTGCTGTAATGACGCGTTGATGAGTCGGTTCTGAGTTAGTCAGGATCAAAGAGAGAAGTAAACACCTGATTCTCAGAGCTTCTTCAGCAGCCTTGCATTAGGACACAGACCCGAGTCAATGAGAGCTTCAGCTGAGAAAAGAGCAGGCTGCCTCGCAACAGCTACAGTGGCCAGAGGTTGTCAATTCCGCGCTCTAACAGTGTGTGTGAGTGGGATGAGAAGGAGGCGAGCTACAAAACCCGGAGAGAGGAGTTACTGAGGAGGAGGAACGACAAGTGGATTTTATAGACAAAACTGACTGGGTCCGCCTATACATTTCGGCATAGCCAGGGGCGGACTGGGACACAAATTCAGCACTGGCATTTCACACCAGCCCACATCCCCGTGACTTATACACACAGGCAGTAATGCTAATGACAAATAACATAGGCAACTATAGTACAGCGTTTCTCAATCTTTACTAAACTGTCTGTCTGTCTGTCTGTCTGTCTGTCTGTCTGTCTGTCTGTCTGTCTGTCTGTCTGTCTGTCTGTCTGTCTGTCTGTCTGTCTGTCTGTCTGTCTGTCTGTCTGTCTGTCTGTCTGTCACTGCTAAGCGTTAATTGCTATTTTATATAGAGCCAACATATTAAGGAACTGGCATTACATCTGTGTCTCTCTGTTTTCTTCCTTCCTCCACTGCACTCACTTCTGAGCTGTCTCTGCTAAGCCTAGCATCCTTTCCCACAGCACTGGTACCAGAAGACCATGGGACTACACAGCCTGTGCTGGGCCCAGCAACATCCTAGTTGTGAACGAATAAACACATGTATTAGATAAAGAAGAAAGATTACTGAATACATGCCTAATAGATATAATACCTTGTGAAAGCCTTACTACTTATATTGCAAATACAAGTGCCTGGCTGTCATACATGTTCCCCCCTATCCTAATGGTTAATTACTATTACATACAGTGCCTTTCGAAAGTATTCAGACCCTTTGACTTTTTCCATATTTTGTTATGTTACAGCCTTATTCTAAAATGGATTTAATTAAATGTTGCATAATGAATCTACACACAATGCCCCATAATGACAACGTGAAAACAGGTTTTTAGAAATGTCTGCAAATTTATTAAAAATAAAAAACAGAAATACGTTATTTACATAAGTATTCAGACCCTTTGCTATGAGACTCGAAATTGAGCTCAGGGCATCCTGTTTCCATTGATCATCCTTGAGATGTTTCTACAACTTGATTGGAGCACCTGTGGTAAATTCAATTGATTGGACATGATTTGGAAAGGCACACACCTGTCTATATAAGGTCCCACAGTTGATAGTGCATGTCAGAGCAAAAACCAAGCCGTGAGGTCGAAGGAAGCTCAGAGACAGGATTGTGTCGAGCCACAGATCTGGGGAAGGGTACCAAAAAATGTCTGCCTCATTGAAGGTCCCCAAGAACACAGTGGCCTCCATCATTCTTAAATGGAAGAAGTTTGGAACCACCAAGACTCTTCCAAGAGCTGGCCGCCAGGCCAAACTAAGCAATTGGGGAGAAGGGCCTTGGTCAGGGAGGTGACCAAGAACCCTATGGTCACTCTGACAGAGCTCTAGAGTTCCCCTGTGGTGATGGGAGAACTTTTCAGAAGGACAACCACCTCTGCAGCATTCCACCAATCAGGCCTTTATGGTAGAGTGGCCAGACGGAAGCCACTCCTCAGTAAAAGGCACATGACAGCTCGCTTGGAGTTTGCCAAAAGGCACCTAAAGGACTCTCAGACCATGAGAAACAAGATTATCTGGTCTGATGAAACCAAGATTGAACTCTTTGGCCTGAATGCCAAGCGTCACGTCTGGAGGAAACCTGGCACCATCCCTACGGCGAAGCATGGTGGTGGCAGCATCATGCTGTGGGGATGTTTTTCTGCAGCAGGGACTGGGAGACTAGTCAGGATCGAGGAAAAGATGAACGGAGCAAAGTACAGGGAGATCCTTGATGAAAACTTGCTCCAAAGCGCTCAGGACCTCAGACTGCGGTGAAGGTTCACCTTCCAACAGGACAACGACCCTAAGCACACACCCAAGACAACGCAGGAGTGGCTTCAGGACAAGTCTCTGAATGTCCTTGAGTGGCCCAGCCAGAGCCCGGACTTGAACCTGATCGAACATCTCTGGAGAGACCTGAAAATAGCTGTGCAGCGACGCTCCCCAATCCAACCTGACAGAGCTTGGGAGGATCTGCAGAGAAAAATGGGGAAACTCCCCAAATACAGGCGCGCCAAGCTTGTAGTGCCATACCCAAGAAGACTCGAGGCTGTAATTGCTGCCAAAGGTGCTTTAACAAAGTACTGAGTAAAGGGTCTGAATGCTTACGTAAATGTCATATTTCAGTTTGAAAACGTTTCTAAAAACCTGTTTTTGCTTTGTCGTTATGGTATATTGTGTGTAGATTGATGAGGGAAAAAAACAATTTCATCCATGTTAGAATAAGCATGTGACGTAACAAAATGAAGAAAAAGTCAAGGGGTCTGAATACTTTCCGAAAGCACTGTATATAATACAGAGCCAAAATATCAATAAACTGGAAGTCTCTCTCTCTCTCTGTTTTCTCCATATGTCCACTACACTTGACCGCAGCAGCAGCTGAGCTGTCTGTTCTGTGCTGGGTAACACTTTATTTAAAGAGTCCATAATAAATAATTTATAAGTCATTAACAATGTTTGCTCACTGTTTATGAATCATTACTCCCCCATTTGTAAATATTGGTAAGCTAGTTATTCACACATGTATATATATTTCCTTAGACATCCTGTGTTGTGTGCTCGTTATTTTACCAGGGACTGCAGGGACTGCAAAAATACATTTTTTTACTAATGATTAGTAAATGTTTTATTATTGTGGGAGTAATGATTAATAAATGGTGAACACACAATTTATGAATGCCTTATAAATGGTTTATTATGGACCCTTAAAATAAAGTGTTACCCATCCTAGTTGTGAATGAATAAACAAAGAAGAAAATCACAGAATAACTGCCTTATAGATGACCATTGGCTTGTATATTACCTTATAACAGCCTAACTACATATTTCAAATTAGTGCATGTCAAGTGTTCCCCCCTTCCCATTTAGCTAAGTGTTTAAATATTAGGCGACATATAATTCAATAGAAGAAAATGGAGAGAGACAAAGAGAGAGAGAGAGACTGCCAGTTCCTTCATGTTTTGGCTATATAATACAGCCAAAGACTACATTAAGGAACGGGCAGTCTCTTTCTCTCCCTCTCTCTCTGTTTTCTTCTATTGAAGTCAATATTCAACCTTCTCTGTTTGTCAAAGAACGACGCCGGGACTAGTTTATGTGGATGCGGATAGATCTCCAGCGTTGTGTTTCGTTTGACAGTGTCGTGCACATATGCATATATTTCTGCCAAGAAGTGACAGGCCTTTCAGCGAATGAAATAAGGGGGATATAGGTGGGACTTTCCAGCCTTCAGTGGTGGTGGCTATGTAATGTAATCCGACACTAGAGTCACTAGTTACTACAGCTCATAAACCCACTAGCTGGGCTGAAGAGACTGAGATTCAGAAGTGAATAAACATCGATAAAACAATTAAAATACACAGACCCCGAATTGACCTTTATGGTAATACATGATGACTTGTGTTTAGTAAAATGCACTGTATACAGTATATGTCTAGTAGATGCTATTGCCTTACCTATGTGTTATAAAAGCCAATCTAACAACTTGTTAGTCTATATCCTAAGTAGCCTAGTGTCTAAATGTTCCCTCGAATCCCCCTTACCTAATTAGCCTACTATAGTAGGTATGAAATATATTCCATACAATATACAGCCAAAAATATTAGGCCTAACTGGCAGCAGTTTGCTACATGAGCTGTGTCAGTGTGCATGAGTGTGTCTTCCTCTGTTTTCTTCTTACCTCGACTGCACCACAGCAGCTGATCTGTCATTTTTCAGACACAGACACAGCACTCGGACCAGCAGAACCAGAACTTTTAGCAAATAAGTTGGTTAATTTCACACATTTAATTGTATTGGTCACATACACATATTTAGCAGATGTTATTGCGGGTGTAGCAAAATGCTTGTAAATTTAGCAGCATCGGCCTCAAGAGCCCTTTTTTTGGTCTCAAACTTTTTTGGCACCACCTTTCCATTTAAATTTTTTGACTGAGTGACTGACAGAGTCAGAGTGGGTCTCACTCTCTTTGAGACCAAAAAAAGGGCTATTGAGGCCATCTTGGTAGGCGGGCCGGCCGTTGCCCGCTGGTCAGCCAAATACTCAACATAGATGATTATGACAACAGAGAAATAACGCAAAAGTCATGAAAAAACAGGCCCATGGGCTGCCGGCCGTGTCCATAATTGTTTTGTTTATATATATATATTATTTGTGTGAATTTCGTCCAGCCCACCCCAATAAAAGATGGCATTTGCCAAAATTGCCAGACGGCCAATCACGTGTGTTGCGAAGCAGAGTTCACTGGTTCGAGCCCAGTGTGGAGCAGTCGGACAGTGGAGGAAGCTAAGCTGTTTGCTGCACACTGACCCCCATTACATTGGCAAAGAGCAATTTCTCTAGCTAGGACAGATTGGGAGTGGTCTGAGTGGGGAGGGGAAAACTGAAAACTAGCTGTTTTCGGTTTGGAACTCTCTTTCTTATTGGTCTATTACCTAATTTACTGCCCGGTGATGGCGGTAAAAACTACATCCCACCAAAACGAGGCTGTATTTTCAGGCCGTCTTTTCAAACAGCTCTAACTCTAAAAGGGCATTATCATAATTTTCACAATTTCACAGTATTATTCCAACCTTTTAGTGTGGAAATATACAGTATATATAACACTGGAAAGTCTAGATTTTTACTCCACTGGGCCTTTTTACAAATTGTGTGCTTTTC